AAGTGACGCGCAGGAGGTAAAATGTAAGCCGCAGTTTTAGTAATAAATATCCTGATCGATAATCCAAGGGTCGGAAATGGACATTCGATTTATGGTTTGTGTCCTATTTATGGACATTTTCAGAACTAATTTTTACCTGATATTTTATGGTTTTTACACTTAGAGGCGGTTTAACACTGAATTGTTAGCATTTGCTAACGAGGTAAAAGCTGCATTGGAAGCCTAGTTTGGCTAACTGAGCTTAATATGGCGACCATAGACATAATGAGGAGCAGAGGCTTTAATAATGAGGAGCAGAGGCCTAAGGCCGTAGTGCCGCCATCTTGGAGTGGTGGACATTTAGTAGGTGCAATGGAGGTTCTGTGCATTTAAACTCCCATGAGTTGACTGACTGCTGTACTGATTTTAACACTTTTTATGCTAACTTTATTTCTAAACCTTATCCACATAGTTATTACAGCTACATATTTGTAAAATAGCTTTGAACTCGATTGATACACGGTTCAGCATATTTAAATATATTTAGTGGAGTTAGCACTACTAGAATACAATATGATTTGATGTATAATAGGTATTTTACATATTGTTCATATTGTTCTACTTTTATGTATTCATCTTATATATATGTCATAATTTATATATACAGCATTTTTATAACAGCTGAAGTTAACAGAGATTCTGCCTCTTCCATTCCAGTCTGGATTTGAAGACTAGTCATAACTGAGATGTTAATATACTGTCAGAAGTCTGACTTTGGATTATATATTTTTCTTTCCCTTCTCCTGAACATTGATTATTGGACTTAAACCCTGGCACAGCAGGAGGAGGATTTCGTTGTCATTTTAGGACATCGTTTGGTTTTTCTTCTTCACCTCAACTGGGAGCAGCATCTGCATAAATTGAACTACTAAAGCAGGTACTGCTTTGTTCTGTTTATTTTCTTGTAGAGTAAAACAGCCTTTAAGTTTTGGGTTTCACCATATGCAGGGCCAGATTAATGTTCTGCTGGACCCTGGGGCCCATGTTCATGACCAGAAGGTCACCATAATCTGGCAAAAATACAGACTAAAATACCGTAATAATACAGTAAATGTACTCAATACTTTAGATTCCGTTTGGAATACAAATGACCAAAAACTTATAGTTCTACAAACACACACCTATGTCTTCCTGTCAGTGACACTAAGTCAAATATGATGCTAGGAAAACAAAACGCATGTCAGTATCAGAACGATGTGGTAAAATTCACTCACTACACTCAGAGGAATACAGTTCCTCCATTTATGAACAACAAACAACCAAACCATTTGATGTTTATCTAACGCCGACCCCCAATAGAAATGTATCGAACTGATAAATCCATGTCAGAGAAAGTCAGACAGCCATAAACATTTCAAACAGAATTTAATAGGGCTACTTGGTTATTAGTGCAATGTATGCCATTTGATGCCATTCTTCTCTCCACAACAAACTATTTGTTGCATTTTCATGGTCAAACAAGAAAAAAAAAATCAGGGTTTGTTCACTTTTCACAAAGTAAAATTCAAGCATTTTCAAACATTTTCAAGGTAAGTTTTCTAACTTTTCCAGCACCAGGTTCTTGATAGGTTTTCTGACATTGGGGAAATAGTTAGACATCAGCGAAGATTCAGTCATCGAAATCTTCACAGCCTCTCAAATTAAATCCCAAACAGGTCAATCATGAATAATTTATCAATGATGACTTTATGTATTTCAAACATTTAGTCATCATTGACATTATGATGCAAAGGAAAATCTCTGACTGCTGTCAGAAAAAGCCACTTACTTTCAAGTAGGCCTGTTGGTTCTGGAAAGCTGCAGATTGTCAGTAGATCGACTCTTCCTGGAAACGCTGTGCAGCGAGCAGCTCAGGCGGCGGGGAGACCGGAGACCCGTCATCTTCCCTCAACAGCAGCGTCTTTGCCTTTATGCTGCCAGTGTTCTGGATATCTCTGCTACCTACCAATATGGCCCACGTTGAGGGAAAGCTCGCATCGATGTTACCTCACAGGTTGCTTGCTCAGCAGATTTCTTATCAATTACGGTAAGCTTAATTAATGTCATGACTGGCTTTCCTTAAGCTGCTGTGTTACTTCTTATTTTAAGTTTACATGATAGGCAGGATAGGATGTATAATTATATCAATTGTACGATATTTATCAAATTTTTTCCACCTTCGGAAGGTGTCGATTTTTCATCCGCATGTAGTGATACGTTAAACCACAAGGGTCCATATACCGTCCTTTTAACATGTCTGGTTGGTGACAGCGTAGCAGCAAGACTCCCCCAGTCTCACTTGCTTAAAGTGCACAATATAAACTACACACCAGTTTTTAAATTGTGTTAAGAGACCAAGTAAAACCGGAGTCAGGCTCAAATAGGAAACCATATCTTTCCGAATGTCAGGAATGTCACATTCCCAGCTTTTCTGGGAATGTGAAAGGGAATGAGCTTCCAAACATAAAAAACGAAATGCAACATTAGATTCCTTTGTTTTTGGAAATCTCAAATCTTCAATAAATAACGATGGGCTGTATGCTGTTGCTCAGAAACAAAATAAATTAACAGTGAAAGAGAAGCGGAGCAGAGCAGCGGCAAAAGCAGTGAGAATAAAGGAAGATTGTGAAATAAATGCAAAGTTTGGATATCAGAGCCACTAGTGGCATCCACTTCATAATTAGTTTTTAGCTTAGTGGTTTCTGTTCTGCATGTAAAGAACTATGTGAAGAATGAACAGGCAGTGATGAAGAGGGGAAACCCGCAGCGTGGGCGCCCTGAGGCTTGCCATGACGACGATGGCGTATCGATCGTTCTTATTAGCAACTGACAGAGTATCAGATCGAGAGAACGATGAGAGCCTGGCTGTCTGAGGCAGCTACTCAGAGACACCAGCAGGGGAAGGCGGCGCTGCAGCTGCAAGGAGTGGATCAGTTCGGGGTGATGCGGAGCCGCTCCCCCAGCAGCTGGTAGTAAACAGCCTACAGTCACGGCTAACTCCAGGATCAAGGTAGGAAAGCCTTTTCCCTGGAGTCCAAAAGATCTTTTTTACTCCAAACGCAGTATGTCCAAAAGAAGAACATAAGTCCATCACTTGCATATGGAGAGTCTAGAGGCTGAGAATCTCCCCACTCAGCTTCTGATCACTGTGGAAACTTTGACTTTTATATCAAATCCATATGAATTTAATGGCTGAAACTCATTTTCTCACTGAATCTTTGATTCATATTGAACAGTTGTAGACTGTTAGACTCTGTCCAATCAGAGTCGGGTGTTGTGTAGTTGGTGCTTTTAATCAGTTTTCAGTTCATTAAATCCAAGTTCATGGAACACAAAATGTTACTAAAATCACTCTGTCCTTCTAAAATCAGAAATCGTAAAAGGGCATCGAATTGTGCAGTTTGCCAAATATCGTGATCCATATCGTACCGTGATCAGGATGTCGTGTATCGTATTGTCAGATTATTGCATTGCTGCACCCCTAATAAGAGCCTTGTAAATACATTTAGAAATGGTTTAGTTTGCCGTCTATGTTGTTACCATATTGTATACTATAAACAAGAGTCATTGCTCGGCCCTGACCACGAGTCAGGACAGATATCTTGTTTTATCCCTAAACTGTAAAATGTTTTAGTTTAAAAATGCTTTTTTAAATTAAACCATGCTAAATAGATGTTGATGAGAATATTACATGTGGTTGAAACTGTTCATGTCTATGATTTAATATTAGTACATTAATATTAGCATCTTAAAAAGTATACCCTTTGATTTCAGGTGCACAGTGACCCCTGCAGTTTGGTGGAGACATTTTGACTGCGCTACATTTGATAAAGACTGCCATACAATGTATTAATGTGCAGAAAAGTTCGCATGGATCTGTATTTGTAGATTTTTGCATTTAGTTTCAATAAAAACTTGTTTCCCCTGTTTGAAACGATTTCATTCTTACAAAGACTTATGTTTAAAATTTGGTAGGATATTACAATGTTAAGACATGAACTGCTATACCTTTGTATTTTAAAAAAGGCAGGATATTCTGATTAAATAATTTAGTGCAACACCATGTACAAAGGTAGCATTTTCTAAAGGGGGAATTTCGTAGATAAAGGTGCAACCGACCAAAATGAAACGGCCGAGTTATCCTGAAGAAGGGTTGCGGTGCATCGACATGTGCTCTCCCCGTATTTTATAAAGATTTTCAAATGACGGAATCTGGTATTGTAAACTGTGTGCACTTACCCGGTTGGATATCAAAATGTGCTACCAGTTGTAGTTTAAGAAGGTAAGATAGGTCAGCAAACAAAGGCTTCACATTTAACTTAAGGTTTGGTTGTTTTGCTTAATTTTAAAGGAATGTGTGAGTCTGTGAGAGTTGATCAGCAGGTGTATTGCAGGGGAATTAAGTGAAAGTTATGTGTATTAGATGATACACATAAGGATGAGCTATTGAAAAAAGCTAACATTTATTGGTCTTTATTGCTACATAATCTGGTTTCTAATTTGGTGAGGCTTCAATTGTGATTTAAATGAACTCAGTGTCAGCAGTTCTACAGTTTTCTTGAAGTTTGTTCCAGATTTGAGGAGAGTAAAACTGAATGAAACAGAAATATCTCTGTTTCATTCAGACATACTTCTGAAACAGTTAATAAAAATATTGCTCTATGATGTTTTGAAGTTCACAGCTAACTATTCCAGTGTTGATCTCAGTGAAAGAAGTCAGAAATAAGACTAAGATGAAAAAAGCTTTCTCTCAGTGAAATAAGTCAAAAATGCACCACTGTGAAAATTTCTGCAAATTCATGAAAGTTCAGCTTCATAATCTTTGAAACAACATAGAAGTACTGAGAAGCAGTAAATGTTAGTGTTTTGAACAATTCCACTGTTGATCTCAGCTTTACATGGAACTTATTGATGGAAGATGAAACCATGTCACATGCTTGAGGTTTTGCAGGATGTTTGCAATTAGGAAGACACTCATAGCATTTGTATTAATATGCATTTATTTATTTAGATAATGTTTAAAGTACTGGATAAAATACAGAAAGAAAAGATTTACATTTGAAAGGATAAAAACCAATGCAATGAATTTGTATCATGATTTGAATGTTTTTTACAAGTTTTTCCCTAATTTCCATGAACAAATTATGTAAAGATTTGAATGATTCTTCTGAGACAGATTAATTTCATGACGCTTATAAAGACATCAAAAAGGTGAGATGAAGTATTTTTGTGCATGTGAGTAAATAAGAGCTAATGGTGACAATAGCATTGCCTGAGTTATTGCAGCAGTGGGGCTCTCAGGCTGCTTGTAGGATTATTTGTAGAGCAGTGTGAGCAGAGCGGTCAGGAAGCAGAGGCTGGTGATTTTGTGAACTCCAGGACACCATTAGTGGCTGCAGCTGTAAATCAAACAAACACAGTCCGTTTACAACATTCCTGATTTAAACTCTACAGCTGAATCTTTAGAAATGATTTAAGGTAAGTAAAGTATGCTCACGTTGGGATGATATTGCTGTACTGGCTGGGGTTGTACTTGAACTGTTTGTGTTTCCTAAAACAAAGAATGAAGCTTGTTAGAGGCGCCCCCTAGTGGCTGTAAACAGTAAAACTACAACAGAAGACCTTTGACACCACGTTACTGCAGACACTTAAATGAAACAAGATGAATCATTAGAATTGTTATTTAATCACATGAGATCTGTGAGATGTCTAATTTGTCCTTTAGCTCACAGAGCTCCAACAGTTACAAATGAAAACTGTTCAGTACAGAAAACACAGATGATGGCAAAATATTTTTTTCATTTTAAGCAACAGTTTAGCTGAATTTCAGATTGAAACACAGCATCACCCACACCGTTTCTGATTCCAACCTGGACCACTTTCAAAGAGAAAGGTGATAGTTTTACCCTGTGGCTCGGTGCTGTTTGTAGCGGTTGGTACTGTGGAGTCGGCCCTAGTGGTGGTTAGATTCAAACCGAGTGTGTCCAGGTCAGACTGTCGCTGTAGGTTCACCCAGGTCTGGACCACAGTATCATTCTCAAACAGCTTGAGATCTCGGGTTTTCACCCATCAGACCTTTCACGTTGGCCACAGTCAGATACTGTGTTGGAAAAAAACAAACACAGGAAGATTTATGTGAGGATCTTTCCTTTTCAGGACCACACAGTTACTGTAAGTAAATGCACTAAGCTGAGGCTGGTTTTGCAGCTTTGGCCACTAAAATGACTTTCCATCCACTGGTACCTCTCACACAGACACTTTTCTGGTATGGTTTGTTTCACATGTGAACTTACAGTTATCACGTTGATATCCAGACTCCTGAAAGTGTTGACATCCATGCTGATGTTCTGACTTGATAATGCTGCAATATCTGCTTGAGGTGCTCCACCTACCGACCAGAAATAGGAAGGCTAAATTACTGAAGGGTCTTTACTTGTATACTTAGGCAGTTACCAGGCATGCTCACCTAGATAGCCTTTAACCAGGTTAAAAAAGTTAATGGGATTATCACGATGGACACTGAAGGAGGTGTTGCTGATCTCATAGAGGACTCTCTTCTGCTCAGTTGAACATGATGCCACATCTAGATGCTTGGCATTTCTGACAACAGATAAAGAGGCATTCAGTGTTACTTTCACGCCCACAGTGGATATATTTGTTATATCCATGCTGACACCAACCTGATACTGTCTGCTGTGATGGTCTGTAACGTGCTGGCGTCCAGTGAGCACAGGTTGGAGTCAATAATGTTCAGTTCACTGCGGCCCAGTGAATTTCCAGAGGTATTCAGGTACTTGGTGATGATTGCTTTGCTCTATATGTAGCATAAAGTAAAACTCATCAAGTTACCCAATTCCAGTCAAATGAGAGTTTTGCTGTACCTGTGCCGTCTGCCATGTTCCATCTTCAGGTTTCATCAGAGCTGCCAAGGTATCCAGTTCAGTGACGTTCCACTTAGAGATGTCATCAAGTGTTGCTGTGCGAGAGACTGAAGCAAGCATCCGTACTTCCTGATCAGGAACTCCAGATGGGAATGCCTGGAAGGAGATTATGAAATTATAAGAGCAAAGTGTTGAATATGAAGTCAAATCTTAATGCATGAAAATAATATGATGCTCATTAATTTGTCTCAGGCTGATGAAATGCCTGCCATCTCATGATGGCCACTGGGTCTGTTGGTCATAAAGCACATAGCGCTTTTTGACCAAACTAGCACAAGTTACCTGGTTGAGCTTCTTCAGAAGGATTTTCTGGAAGTCATCATCATCCACTTTCTGGCAGATAGTGTAGAGGTTGTCTTTTAGAACGGGAACGTCCAGGCAGAGGTCGAACTGCGTCACGTCGTAGCCAAAGGGGAAAGACGGGTCGCTAACAGTCACCTGGGTGATGTTGCCCTCAGAGCATCCTTGTAAAAGTTGGAGAAAAAGAGTTGGGGTTTAGTTTGCAACTAATTTATTCCACTTAAATAACTTAATCTTAAATCATTTAGGAAATCTTGCAGTCTTGTCTTCAGTAGCTGCTTTTACCTGCTCCTCGTTTTGCTACTGTAGGCCTGAGCTCTGAAAACAGGTTCTTGAGCTTCATCTTCTGAGTTTTTTGTTTCCTTAGGTCAGGCATGAAACCCTTAAGGAATCTTTTCTGTGTTGCCTGACAAAGTATCAATAAAATGACAGTTAGTTCTTTCATGAAAGACAAATGAGTTGTTAGATGAATTTATGTCATCATCATCTTAATCTCATCAGACTTACAGCTGGGAAATTTGTCCAGATTTTTCTTGTTAAATACAAAGGAAGTGTTCCCAGCCCCTCCAGCGTCTGTTGGTCCCAGCTGTTTACAGCTCTGAAAAAAAGTTTGTTCAAATATGAGACATCTAAAAAATATTGAAATATACATCAGTCATCATTCAGACAACAAGCAACTGACTAATTGTTGCCTGGTGAGTTGCTGTGATATCCATCCTGGTCAGCCTGGACGTTAGATGTAAATAAAGAGCCCACTTTATCTCAACTTGTATTAAAATGTCGGACAACAGAAGTCGAATCATTTTTCCCTGCAGACTAAATGACTGGATTAATTTCTTTAGTACCCGTATTGTGTTTTCCCAGACAGCAGCAGTGTTTCCATAGCAGCCACTTGGCTGGCAGAGAGGTCTTTGCAGGCTTTGAGTTTTTCCAGGATGAGAGGATCTGAGTTCTCAATGTCGGATCTATCCAGAGTGCAGACCATGTTCCCCAGGACCTCCACATTGTCTCTGCTCAGGCTGAGGCCACTGATCCCCTGAAACAGGGAAAAACATTCAAATCAGTGAAAACGTTTCATCACTCTACTGTAGAAGATTAATTTGAGGCACATGTGTAATGTGTGCTCTGACGCATGCTGCAGGTAGGCTCTCTGTATATTGTCTGTTTTGTTGGATCTCACCAAGCAGTCTCTAGCTTCCCTCAACTTCTGTGGGCCCTTGTTCAAGGTGCTGGAGGCCACAGAGAAGTCTGCTGCACCCAGGGCAGAGAAGTAGGACCTGCAGTTTGCTTTCTGGACATTTTTGGAGCTGTTGGTGGAGATTGTTGTAAAAAAATAAATCAATAAAAAGGATCAGACAACTTTTCCAAACAACTGGCACAATAGTTACAATAATTAGGTGCAGAGGGACTCACTCCAAGTAGAGAAGCATGTCTGAAGGGTAATCAGTGAAGTTCTGAGAGAGGTCGTCACGGATTAGGTTGTGCATGCAGGTCAGCTGGAGGTCACAATGTGAGTACAAGGATGGAAAACTGGTTCTTATAACTGCAGCTTATGTTTCATTTCAAATCTTGCCACTCGATAAATTGTAACCCGAAACTCTATTTAAATCTTGATCTAGAGGCAGCAGAACTTACCTGAGGTTCCTTCAGGTCCACCTTGGCTCTGCCTTTCCTCGGCCTGCAGGCACGAATCATCTGCTTGATTTTGGCTTTAGACATTTTCTGAACTGTGCCGCATGTGAAGCCTTGCAGCACAGATGGAGAAAGCCTGCAGAGAGAAGTCAGAAAAGCATAGAGTTTAATGCATAGAAAGGTGGAATTCTCATGATAAATAGCTGCAGGTTTTGGTTACTTACTGCTCGATGTCGAAGCCTGATTCACCCAATGTCCAAATAAACATGGCGGACTGTAAAGAGTAATACAGGAGTCTTTATTCAAGATGTTAACGTATGTGAGAAATATTATTTTCTAAACAGGGCAGGTGATCTCTGGCACGTTTATTAAAATATCTCTCACAGCATCAAGTTTTTATCCACCTAAAACCAGAACAAATCACTGACCTGATCTGGAGTCCACATCTTTTTGTTAATCACGCTGATGTTGACTGTGCTCTCAGAAAACACCAGCAGTGATGATGGGATCTCATTTGCAAGGGCATCAGGGACATTCTCCACCAATTTAACTGGATTTGCATCCACAGAAATGATCTGACAAGTAGGTCAGTAGATGTCATTGTTATTTGTCTGATACTTTCAATATTACTGAATTAAAGGCAAGTTGTTTTGTACCTTTCTGACAAAAGTCTCTTGGACAACCTTTGAGGCTTCCAGCATGTTGGAAACGACGTTGGGCCTCTTGGAGGCGCTGAGTATTTCAGAAGCTGAGATCTTTTGAATTGACTCTGACTGAAGTCCAACAACAAGAGTTCCCAGGGACTCCAGAGAGGCTGCGCTGTTGACCTGTCAGTTACATTGTTGTCCATTAAAACCATGAAAACCATGTTCTGGTAACGAGGAACTAATGAGCATTTAGAATGGATCATTTATTTAGATAAATACCGGTTAGCATTTATGCAGCCAATCATTGAACATCTGAAGTGTTTCAAGAAAGCTGAAGAAATCAGCAAAACGTACCTGAAATCCTGAGGAGGTGATGGACTGGATGATAGTGGTGGCCCGGTCCTGGCCCCAGTTTTTCACAGAGCCCAGGGTGGTCAAAGAGGAAACCAGCACTGAAGAGGACACTGTAAGAATCTGATCTTTGGTCAGTGCTGAAGCGGCGCTGCCAAGTTCTTCAAAGGTTTCCTTTGTGAAGGTCTTGATGGTGGATGTCAGAGCTGCAGATATCTGTTGAATAGAATATTGCAGATGCATTATTTTCGTTTAACTTTGAAAAGTCTTTCTCCGTCACTGTCTTTAGCAGAGCAATCAATCATATAATAAATGACAAAGTCTTTGTTATATAGCTATTGTAATGTTTTAAACTCATTAAAATGTCATGTGAGTGAAGCGTGTGTGTCTAGTGAAGGACATTAAGATGATATTTGCTGTGAATCACTGCTGAACAAATTGGATTTAATTTGAGGTGGAAAAACATCATTGAAACAAACAATATTTCTGTGTAGGAACTTCAAGATCTGGTACCTCAGGATTTTCTGTTCCATTACAGAATGTCTTCAGTTTTTCCAAGATGACCATCGTCTCAGATTCGGTGAGAGAGAAAAATACTGAGCTTGGGATGTCAGAGGAACATAATAAAGATCCTGGAAGCCTGAATGAGAGGTGGAGTTTTATTCAACCGAGTGCAAGGATCAGTGAGCACATACCAACATGGAGACTTGATCTGATTAAGTGCCGTACATTTTCTAGCTCGCGTGATAAAAACTTACTTGAATAGACTGAAGTTGGGGTTGAATGCATAGAGCTGGGTGATGTAGTAGCCTGTTACGTATTTAGAGATTGCTGTGTTGTTGAAGAGTTCCAGATTAGAGTAATCCTCCAGGAATATCTCTAGCTTTAAATGTATAAACATCAAGAAATACATGTAAACAGGAATAAAACAGGACTACAATTTTCAGTATGGTTCACTTTGCACAAGTAAACTTTTTAAAAATCTTTTTATTTTCAACACATAAACATGTCCACCCTTGTCACATTTCACATCTTATTTACGCAGACCATTTTAGACATTTACACCAAGCAAACAGGCTGTTAATTCCAGCTCTGCTAAAAGTTATCCAGGGATTAATGATGGAGTCCAGCAGGGATACATTTCCTTCAAACAGATGTTAGCCCCATTAAGAGAAACCTATATTCCTTACCAGCATGGATATGTAAGTCACAGTAATTTCAGTGCACAACAATATCAATACAAAATAAATTCAAAAGGTACAGAAGCAAAAAAATAAATAGAGGTGTCAAGGTTGCAATATGAATTTAGTTATAAGTCTCCACTTTGTTTCTTAGGTCTCCATCTTAAGTTGTAGTCTTGATGTTGTTTTTTTCCATAATATATACTTTTCTAATTCCATCTCTCCTCTGTAATACTGGGAGGTTGTGGCTTTAACCAATCATATATTATAAACTTCTTTGCAAATAGAAGCAAAACTTTGATAAACTATTTATTGTCTGAGGGGATTATTCCTAAAATATATACAGATGTATCCAGATCTAAATAAATGCCTAGAATATATTTTACAAGTAAACATTTGAATTGGTGAGTTCTAAAGTACACACAAACTGATCCAGTCCCAAACAAACATGCAGCATTTCTTTCATCTCCCTGTATCTGAGCTCTCTTATGCTTCTGTGGAGTGGAAGAGGGATGATGCATCAAGGATGGCAGCTCACAGCTCATCTGCGATCCCACAGATGAGCCTTCCCTGATTCCAGCTCTGACAGATTTACTTTTAAACTCTGGCTTTTAGTACCAACTCAACACACTATTACAGCTTTAATTGTGCTGAATGTAATACTTTATTTCTACCACTGTGTCATTCTATTTTTAAACTTAAAACTCTTGGTGATTTTATACCTTGTGTGGAACTTTGATAAAAATGATTTTAAATGTGCTGCAAATGTTGACTTTGGTTGTTCTGATTAGAAATTTTCCAAGTTCACTCAAACAATTGAAATCATAACCGATAAACAGCAGGCCTCGATTTGGTTTTTATTGTGTTAAAAATGTAATAAGTCTGTTAGGACAAATACCTGAGAGGTGGAGATAAAGCTGGTGAGATCATCCAAAGTGATAAACGTAACAAAGCTGCCAATGTTGCTGACAAACCAGGAGGTAGAACTCAGCTCTGGATTGCTGCGATCATAGCATCTGGCTCCAGGGCCTGCGGACAAAGAGAGACTCTGCAATGTATATTTCTTCCTGCCTAAATCATTTGCATAGTTTGCTTTAAAACTTTTCATACCCCTTCAACAAAAACTGAATGTATTTTACTGGGATTTTTGTTATGAACCAATGGTTTCCAAACTGCAATCAAAGTTCCACTGGGTGGTACAAATTTGCTGATGTAGCTGACAAACAACCCTGATAATCTGGTTTTTGGACATGTGGTTTGACATGTCGTTCCAAGAAAAACTAGTCCTCCGTGGCAACTTTGCAACTTACGGCTGTGAAATGGTGGCGGGAGAAGATGACAGATTCTTTACTTTGGCATCTAATGGTTTGGCTCTTCTGCAACAGACTTGTTGCTTTACATCCTGCTTATGGCTCCTACTAGCACATCAAAGGCCAGTTCTCTACAACCATAACTATGCGGATGACATAGTTATGGTGTGGATGACATCGTAATGCTCTACATTACGATGTCACCTGGTGACTCTGAACCCATCCAAACACTAAATAAATGTTGAGAACAGATAAATGTGTGGATGTGCCAAAACTTTCTCCAGCTGAACAAAAACAAAACTGAAGTCATTATTTTTGGACCTAAAGAGGAATGATCTAGAGCTATAGATCTAGAGTTATAGATCTAGAGCTATAGAACTAGAGTCAATGCACAGCTTCAGTTATTACAACTAAAAACTAGCGATCAGCCCGAAACCTGGGAGTAGTGATGAACTCTGACCTGAACCTTGCGAGCCACATAAAGACAGTTACAAAGTCGGCCTTCTATCACCTGAAGAACATCTCCAGGATTAGAGGACTAATGTCTCAGCCAGATCTAGAGAAACTCATTCATGCGTTTATCTTTAGTCACATTGATTATTGTAACAGCGTCTTCACAGGCCTGTCCAACAAATCAATCCTCCAGCTGCAGCTGATCCAGAAGCTGCTGCTCCTGTTCTCACTAAAACCAGGAAGATAGAGACATAACAGCAGTTTTTAAAGTCCCTCCACTGGCTCCCTGTAGCTCAAAGAATAGATTTTAAAATACTGTTGTTAGTTTATAAATTACTGAACGGTTTAGCACCACAATACATCAAAGATCTGCTGTTGTTGTATCAACCTTCCAGACTCTCAGGTTCTGGTTCTGGTTCTGGTTCTGCATCCCCAGAACCAGAACCAAGAGAGGAGAAGCAGCTTTCAGCATCTATGCACCAAAAATCTGGAACAAACTTCCAGAAAACTGTAAAACAGCAGAAACCCTGACTTCCTTTAAATCTCAACTAAAACACATTCTGTTTAGAATTGTTTTTGAAATGTAATATGTAACAATGTATTGTCTATTATTTGACTTTGTGTTTTTGTGTTCATGATGTAAAGCACTTTGAAATGCCTTGTTGCTGAAATGTGCTATACAAATAAAATTTGATTTGATTTGATTTGTCCTTCCCTGGGTGAGCTCATTTCAGGAAAAAAAAGAGACTATTTTAGGACCTGCTTTCCCTCTTATTCTGTGTTAAGGTATGGAGCTGTGCTCCTATCTTTCGTCCAACTGCCCCCCTCATCTGTGTGTTCATGCTTTTCTCCGTCCATCTCCTACCCTGAATGACATAGCAATGACCTCGAATTTGCCCCAAAATTAGTTTAACTTCATGTGGCAACCTCCAAAGAAAGACTGGTGCCGATACAGTGGGGCGTCAGATGAAAGGGACTTTACTCCCTTGATCCAACACCTCATGTTTGTTACGGATCTGCTGGATTTATATTCAGAATAAATTATACTTTGGTGGACTCAGTTCTTGCTTAATAAATAGAAGACTTCTTAAAACCCCTTAACTCTCAGCTCCGGAAAATACAATAGAAAAACAGAACACGGGTATTCCATCGTATGTTAAAGTGCTGAGTTTTTCTTTTTGTTAGTCTTAATTTTGAGAGTCAGCATATAGGGAGCCAAATGCAAACACACTTCACCCTTATTTAAAAAACAAAAGTAAACCACGCGTCAATGTTTCTCAACTTTAGAATTATGCACTCCTTTGTATTGATCTGTCCCAAAACATCAGAAAAAAACCTACACAGAAATTTGTTATACTATGACAAATGATTGTTTATATCCCAGGTAGTAATGTGAGTTAAAGGAAACAGAATAGAAGTGTCCTTTATTGTCCAACAGTGTGAAAATTCAGGAATAACAATAATTGTTTATGAATCATACCAGCTCTCAGGAAGCTCCTGATGGTGGTGTACACATCTTCCGGTCCAAACTCAGAACTGGTGTATGTGAAGATTTTTCCCATAAAAAACACTCTATTGTACAGAAAACAACAAAGTTGGGTTCATGATAGGGTTTTAGGTATGTTTTTGTTATTGTGATACATAAACCTACAGTTTCTGGAAGGAGAGACATGAGGCGTTCTGCACTTTGTTGAAGCTGATGAGATCCTTGGTGAGGAACTTCAGATAGTTCCTCAAACGTACGTTAAACCACAGATCAACCTCAGATCTTCTGTTGCTGCTCAGAGCCAAAGGCCAAACACAGGGAAGGATGATCCTCCTCACATCATCTGGGACGTCCTCCTGCAGGTGTTGTACAGAAATATCAAACAGTGAGGAGAACACAGCCTGATTCACCCATAGATGTTGCTATGCATTTAAATTTGAGATGGGGACATACGTTTTCTAGGAAGGAAGGAGTGTTGTTGTAGTTGCTGAAGATGATGCAGATGCCTGAACTGTTATTGATTGTGCCAGGCTGATTGAGGAGCTGACTCAGCTCTGAGGTGCTGATGGTATTTAGGAGCTGGAAACAGAAGAAGATACTTTCTAAGTTCATTTAGCTAGATTACAGGAATGAGTCCATTTTTTGATTCCTCATATTGATGTATAAACAGAATTGCTCCAAAAATCTCCTTTCTATCCATTCCCTTTTATCTGTGTATGGATGTTCTGTACCTCTGATTTGTGTGTTGCTGGAAGAAGAGAGATGAATGATGGGACATCAGGAAAGCCAAAGCTGAGGAAGTTGTTCTTCAGGAACATGTAAAAGCTTCCACCACTGAAACACTTTAGTGGCGTTTGATCTGTGTTGCAAAGTAAAGCATCTTATTCTGGGTACAAATAAGACAGACATCAGTGGACAGAAAAGACTTTTCAGTTTTATTTCTGTTGTGGTTGCTTTGGGGCATTTTTTGGAATTCAGCTGAAATGAAACAACTAAATACGGGTACTAAAGATTGACTTTCATCAATCTCACCCAGTTGTTTCTTATAAAGCAGCTATCCCAGGTTTGCATCCCGATGTTGGCCCATTTGCTCTTTTCCCTCTCAAGACAGCAGCACCACAATAATAAACATGTCTAATCTTACACAACTGGACAGAAGTTCCAGATGTTGTTTAAGCTTGAAAAAGTGATACTTTTTAATCTACAAAAGTATTACTGCTGAAACAGCTCTTGAAAGTGTTCATTCAATTGCATTCAAAATCATTAGTACCCCCTGTGGATTTAGGCTTAAAGTTCTACTTTAATTTTACTAACATGTTTCTCCCGACTAGAAATCATTTTAAAATTTAGAAGCAATCCAGTCAGAGTCCTGACTGAAATCTGATTGAGTATCTGGGAGTAGAGCTGAAGACTAGGGTGATGATTGTGCATCATATCCTGCCTGTTGTGCATGAGATATTACTATCCTGCTGTAAAAGACAATTGTCACTTTATAACAATGAGTACAAGAATAATTATTTGAGAAAATCTGCATGTTTCATATTTTGTTATTCAGATCTTTTGAAGTTTCAATCAAACATTTTAGAGTACAAATTTCACAGTGACATCTAAACATTTTGAATAGTTTTTCCAAAACCAGAATTCCTGGAGCTGAGGCCATTGATTTATTAATTGATCTGTCTTTATTTCAAGAGATGATGCTAATAGGTATTACAAAAACCAAAAGTATATTATTGATCTAGTTTCTAGTACAAATATGTCAGTACACTAAAAAAACCCCAAAACATACAAGTAAATTTTCAACAAGAAATGGGACCTCTTTTTAAGTCAGTTCCTTAATATTGATGAAAATATATGAGCTATAAACAAAATAAAGCTGCAAGCAGCCTTGAACGGCCCTCCCAGCTCAGCGCCACTCCGACCTTGTGGTGACTGTGGGGGTTGCAACGATACTGCCAGCTACCGCAGAGGCCTCACCCAGTTCCTGCACCCATCTACTGTCTGCCTGCCTCAAGACTGTGGAGAGTTTGAAGTCTGTATGTCAAACGCTGTAGGACAAGTTTGGTAAGATACGGTGTCTATTAAAAAGAGAAAATGGAGGGTCTCATCCAAAATGGCTGACTTCCTTTTGGGTTTGGCCCATGGGCTCAACAGAGTTTGCGTGTACCAAGTTTCATAACTCTGTGATAAAGCATGGCTTAGGGCTGATACAGTGAAATACACCACAAATAAAATATGCGCTGTAGAGAAATTAGCCCACACCCACCAAAGATTGTTCTGGATTCCTGTAGGGGTTTGGATAAGGATGTATTCTGGTGAGTTTGATGAAGCTCAATTCGAAACTGTGGAATTTAGAGCCAAATTTATGGCAACGTCGCTACATGTCACTTCGCCATGCCGTCACCCCCACCTCCTCCTCTGAAACTGGTCAGGGTTGGAATCCATTTCACGCCAACATGTCTTCTGACTCTGAACAGTTTCATGTTGATTGGGTCAAAGAGATCAGATAGAGACCGTTCATAGTAGCCGATCGATCAAAATCCCTAGGAGAAGTTTGATCAAACGCGAAGGCTATAAACAGCCAAAACAGCTTGAAAATTGTAGCTTCAATCCAAAATGGTCAACTTCCTGTTTGACTTGCACGACGATATTAATTGAATTTTCTGTGCATCTTGGGGAGCTCTACACTTGTACCAATTTTCATATCTCTACGATGAAGTAGGATCATAGCAGAGGGTTTTTTGAAAGAATCATAAACACTATGATTAATAATCTGCCAATGGAATCAGACATTTTAATTTATGGGAAAATGTGTCTGGGAGATTGTTTCACTCAATTACGTTTTCATCAATATTATGGTATTATTGACTTAAAACAGGCTTCTATATCTTGCTGAAAAGTTAACTGTAAGTTAGCTTTCTTATTTTAAGTGTACTAAGATATTAGGACTAGAAACTAGACCAAAAATATTGAGTAAGATTTTGTGTTTTCACAGATAATCATTGTTTGCCATTTCAACTAAATGTTCTGAGAAATGTACTGTTTTTCAGATGTTTAGACTGATGATAAAAATGTACAAAAGCAACCAGGAAATATCAAAGAGAGAATAAGCTTTTCTTTTGTTGGAAGCATTATTTTCTACCTTGGAGGAAGAGGATCATATTTTTGTAGATCTCTGCTTTGGTTTCGTTGCTGAGTGTCATCTGCACAGTTTCAAGCACTGAAATCCTGAATGGAAATTGTCAGTTACTAATTTAAACCAATAATCAATGTCACATTATACAATGTATTGACTAAAATATGGAGCCATTTTGTAATATTTTAATATCTACTGCAATTTCATGAATGTATTGAATAGATACTTGCATCTCTTGGCTGCTGTTGCAGCTCCTATTTTTCACAATACTGAAGAGGTGAATAACCATAGTTGGAGAGAGATTGACCAGCAAAGGTCTGAGTTGCAGCCTAAGCCATAGCAGGAACTCTTCATCACTGACAGCTGACTGGGACAAATCTTTCTCCAGCACAGCCTCAAGAAAGGCCAATGTCATATTCTGTGTGTAGTTGGCAGCCTGGGTCTGTGGGGGAATTCAGTTTTAGTAGGAAAGAAAGAGGTGTGAACAAATTGGTTTAGTGAATGTCAAGATGGTACAGCCAGAGGCAATAATTTCTTAGAAAAGAGATTAAGAAACTAAATATCATACATTTAGCAAATCTTGAAATTTAGATGCTAGAAGTTTTTTTTCTTCTTGTAGATGTAGACTTTGTATAAGTTGGTATTAAAAAATAAAAAGTGTAAGATATTAAATGTGCAAGGCTGAGGTTAGAAAACCCAGAGCAAGTTGTAAATTTCTGCAAAAAACAAAACAAAAACTACACTGGTTGAAAATGTTGAATTCCCACTGAACCTGAAGCCAAAAAAATGTTTTATGTCAGACTAAGTTGAAAAAGTTTCCTGGAGAGAAGAAAGCTCATAAGTAGACCATTAAAAGTCTGTCATGTCAGAATGTCAAATTAGGCAGACACAAAAACAGAAGAGACAAAGTTATAACTTCTATTGAGGATCAAGTCCTTACCACAGTAGTAGCGCCAGCAGATAATGACAAGCCAGGACTGGTTGTGATACCAGATGTTGGTATTTCAGAGTCAATGAGGCTTTTTGTTGGTGTACCACTTGAAACATCTCCTGTTGATGTTCCAGCACTTGTTACCATGTTATTTTTTGATATCAAGGAACTTGAATCATCTGTTGTCTGTAACATTGTGATGGTTCCAGCATCATGCGTCGGCGTTTCAGTACTGTTTGAAACTTTTGCTTTTGTTGTGAAAGGAGTAGACTCAGGACTCAGGCTGGTTGTTCCAACAGTAGCCACAGAATTACCTGTTGATGTGCCAGCTCTGGTTGAAGTGTTAGTTGTCCTCCATGAGCTGCTTTCAGTTTTGATTGTTGCCGACACAGAATTGGTTGTGGTACCAGATGTTGGTATTTCAGAGTCAGTGAGGCTTTTAGTTGGTGTACCACTTGAAACATCTGCTGTTGATGTCTCAGAGGCTGTTGTGGCATCTGGTGTTGATGTTGTACTGCTTGTGCATTCAGTTAGAGGCTCTGGGGTAACAGGACTGGTTGCAGTGTTAGATAGCTCAGGTCTGGTACTGGTTAACGCTTGCTTTGTTGTTGTGGTAGCACTGATTTTCAGAGCAGTGTGAGTCTCACTTCCTGTGTCTGCAGTAACTGTTGACATCCCACTAGCAGTTGCAACTTCTGGCATCTTTTTTCCAGAACTGGTTGTAGAAGGAGCCATTCTTGTGCTAGTGGTAGTTTCAGCATCTGGAGATGTTGTCAAAGAGTCAGTTGGACCGCCTGTTGGTGACGTTGTTGCAGTGGTTGCTACATTTCTTGTTGCTGTGAGAACACGGTTTTCAGAGTCTACTGTTGTCATATCACTGGTCAAAGCATCTCCTGTTGATGTTCCAGCACTTGTTACCATGTTATTTTTGATATCAAGGAACTTGAACCATCTGTTGTCTGTAACATTGTGATGGTTCCAGCATCATGCGTCGGCGTTTCAGTACTGTTTGAAACTTTTGCTTTTGTTGTGAAAGGAGTAGACTCAGGACTCAGGCTGGTTGTTCCAACAGTAGCCACAGAATTACCTGTTGATGTGCCAGCTCTGGTTGAAGTGTTAGTTGTCCTCCATGAGCTGCTTTCAGTTTTGATTGTTGCCGACACAGAATTGGTTGTGGTACCAGATGTTGGTATTTCAGAGTCAGTGAGGCTTTTAGTTGGTGTACCACTTGAAACATCTGCTGTTGATGTCTCAGAGGCTGTTGTGGCATCTGGTGTTGATGTTGTACTGCTTGTGCCTTCAGTTAGAGGCTCTGGGGTAACAGGACTGGTTGCAGTGTTAGATAGCTCAGGTCTGGTACTGGTTAACGCTTGCTTTGTTGTTGTGGTAGCACTGATTTTCAGAGCAGTGTGAGTCTCACTTCCTGTGTCTGCAGTAACTGTTGACATCCCACTAGCAGTTGCAACTTCTGGCATCTTTTTTCCAGAACTGGTTGTAGAAGGAGCCATTCTTGTGCTAGTGGTAGTTTCAGCATCTGGAGATGTTGTCAAAGAGTCAGTTGGACCGCCTGTTGGTGACGTTGTTGCAGCGGTTGCTACATTTCTTGTTGCTGTGAGAACACGGTTTTCAGAGTCTACTGTTGTCATATCACTGGTCAAAGCATCTCCTGTTGATGTTCCAGCACTTGTTACCATGTTATTTTTGATATCAAGGAACTTGAATCATCTGTTGTCTGTAACATTGTGATGGTTCCAGCATCATGCGTCGGCGTTTCAGTACTGTTTGAAACTTTTGCTTTTGTTGTGAAAGGAGTAGACTCAGGACTCAGGCTGGTTGTTCCAACAGTAGCCACAGAATTACCTGTTGATGTGCCAGCTCTGGTTGAAGTGTTAGTTGTCCTCCATGAGCTGCTTTCAGTTTTGATTGTTGCCGACACAGAATTGGTTGTGGTACCAGATGTTGGTATTTCAGAGTCAGTGAGGCTTTTAGTTGGTGTACCACTTGAAACATCTGCTGTTGATGTCTCAGAGGCTGTTGTGGCATCTGGTGTTGATGTTGTACTGCTTGTGCCTTCAGTTAGAGGCTCTGGGGTAACAGGACTGGTTGCAGTGTTAGATAGCTCAGGTCTGGTACTGGTTAACGCTTGCTTTGTTGTTGTGGTAGCACTGATTTTCAGAGCAGTGTGAGTCTCACTTCCTGTGTCTGCAGTAACTGTTGACATCCCACTAGCAGTTGCAACTTCTGGCATCTTTTTTCCAGAACTGGTTGTAGAAGGAGCCATTCTTGTGCTAGTGGTAGTTTCAGCATCTGGAGATGTTGTCAAAGAGTCAGTTGGACCGCCTGTTGGTGACGTTGTTGCAGTGGTTGCTACATTTCTTGTTGCTGTGAGAACACGGTTTTCAGAGTCTACTGTTGTCATATCACTGGTCAAAGCATCTCCTGTTGATGTTCCAGCACTTGTTACCATGTTATTTTTTGATATCAAGGAACTTGAACCATCTGTTGTCTGTAACATTGTGATGGTTCCAGCATCATGCGTCGGCGTTTCAGTACTGTTTGAAACTTTTGCTTTTGTTGTGAAAGGAGTAGACTCAGGACTCAGGCTGGTTGTTCCAACAGTAGCCACAGAATTACCTGTTGATGTGCCAGCTCTGGTTGAAGTGTTAGTTGTCCTCCATGAGCTGCTTTCAGTTTTGATTGTTGCCGACACAGAATTGGTTGTGGTACCAGATGTTGGTATTTCAGAGTCAGTGAGGCTTTTAGTTGGTGTACCACTTGAAACATCTGCTGTTGATGTCTCAGAGGCTGTTGTGGCATCTGGTGTTGATGTTGTACTGCTTGTGCCTTCAGTTAGAGGCTCTGGGGTAACAGGACTGGTTGCAGTGTTAGATAGCTCAGGTCTGGTACTGGTTAAACGCTTGCTTTGTTGTTGTGGTAGCACTGATTTTCAGAGCAGTGTGAGTCTCACTTCCTGTGTCTGCAGTAACTGTTGACATCCCACTAGCAGTTGCAACTTCTGGCATCTTTTTTCCAGAACTGGTTGTAGAAGGAGCCATTCTTGTGCTAGTGGTAGTTTCAGCATCTGGAGATGTTGTCAAAGAGTCAGTTGGACCGCCTGTTGGTGACGTTGTTTGCAGCGGTTGCTACATTTCTTGTTGCTGTGAGAACACGGTTTTCAGAGTCTACTGTTGTCATATCACTGGTCAAAGCATCTCCTGTTGATGTTCCAGCACTTGTTACCATGTTATTTTTTGATATCAAGGAACTTGAATCATCTGTTGTCTGTAACATTGTGATGGTTCCAGCATCATGCGTCGGCGTTTCAGTACTGTTTGAAACTTTTGCTTTTGTTGTGAAAGGAGTAGACTCAGGACTCAGGCTGGTTGTTCCAACAGTAGCCACAGAATTACCTGTTGATGTGCCAGCTCTGGTTGAAGTGTTAGTTGTCCTCCATGAGCTGCTTTCAGTTTTGATTGTTGCCGACACAGAATTGGTTGTGGTACCAGATGTTGGTATTTCAGAGTCAGTGAGGCTTTTAGTTGGTGTACCACTTGAAACATCTGCTGTTGATGTCTCAGAGGCTGTTGTGGCATCTGGTGTTGATGTTGTACTGCTTGTGCCTTCAGTTAGAGGCTCTGGGGTAACAGGACTGGTTGCAGTGTTAGATAGCTCAGGTCTGGTACTGGTTAACGCTTGCTTTGTTGTTGTGGTAGCACTGATTTTCAGAGCAGTGTGAGTCTCACTTCCTGTGTCTGCAGTAACTGTTGACATCCCACTAGCAGTTGCAACTTCTGGCATCTTTTTTCCAGAACTGGTTGTAGAAGGAGCCATTCTTGTGCTAGTGGTAGTTTCAGCATCTGGAGATGTTGTCAAAGAGTCAGTTGGACCGCCTGTGGGTGACGTTGTTGCAGCGGTTGCTACATTTCTTGTTGCTGTGAGAACACGGTTTTCAGAGTCTACTGTTGTCATATCACTGGTCAAAGCATCTCCTGTTGATGTTCCAGCACTTGTTACCATGTTATTTTTTGATATCAAGGAACTTGAATCATCTGTTGTCTGTAACATTGTGATGGTTCCAGCATCATGCGTCGGCGTTTCAGTACTGTTTGAAACTTTTGCTTTTGTTGTGAAAGGAGTAGACTCAGGACTCAGGCTGGTTGTTCCAACAATAGCCACAGAATTACCTGTTGATTTGCCAGCTCTGGTTGAAGTGTTAGTTGTCCTCCATGAGCTGCTTTCAGTTTTGATTGTTGCCGACACAGAATTGGTTGTGGTACCAGATGTTGGTATTTCAGAGTCAGTGAGGCTTTTAGTTGGTGTACCACTTGAAACATCTGCTGTTGATGTCTCAGAGGCTGTTGTGGCATCTGGTGTTGATGTTGTACTGCTTGTGTCTTCAGTTAGAGGCTCTGGGGTAACAGGACTGGTTGCAGTGTTAGATAGCTCAGGTCTGGTACTGGTTAACGCTTGCTTTGTTGTTGTGGTAGCACTGATTTTCAGAGCAGTGTGAGTCTCACTTCCTGTGTCTGCAGTAACTGTTGACATCCCGCTAGCAGTTGCAACTTCTGGCATCTTTTTTCCAGAACTGGTTGTAGAAGGAGCCATTCTTGTGCTAGTGGTAGTTTCAGCATCTGGAGATGTTGTCAAAGAGTCAGTTGGACCGCCTGTTGGTGACATTGTTGCAGCGGTTGCTACATTTCTTGTTGCTGTGAGAACACGGTTTTCAGAGTCTACTGTTGTCATATCACTGGTCAAAGCATCTCCTGTTGATGTTCCAGCACTTGTTACCATGTTATTTTTGATATCAAGGAACTTGAACCATCTGTTATCTGTAACATTGTGATGGTTCCAGCATCATGCGTCGGCGTTTCAGTACTGTTTGAAACTTTTGCTTTTGTTGTGAAAGGAGTAGACTCAGGACTCAGGCTGGTTGTTCCAACAGTAGCCACAGAATTACCTGTTGATGTGCCAGCTCTGGTTGAAGTGTTAGTTGTCCTCCATGAGCTGCTTTCAGTTTTGATTGTTGCCGACACAGAATTGGTTGTGGTACCAGATGTTGGTATTTCAGAGTCAGTGAGGCTTTTAGTTGGTGCACCAGTTGAAACATCTGCTGTTGATGTCTCAGAGGCTGTTGTGGCATCTGGTGTTGATGTTGTACTGCTTGTGCCTTCAGTTAGAGGCTCTGGGGTAACAGGACTGGTTGCAGTGTTAGATAGCTCAGGTCTGGTACTGGTTAACGCTTGCTTTGTTGTTGTGGTAGCACTGATTTTCAGAGCAGTGTGAGTCTCACTTCCTGTGTCTGCAGTAACTGTTGACATCCCACTAGCAGTTGCAACTTCTGGCATCTTTTTTCCAGAACTGGTTGTAGAAGGAGCCATTCTTGTGCTAGTGGTAGTTTCAGCATCTGGAGATGTTGTCAAAGAGTCAGTTGGACCGCCTGTTGGTGACGTTGTTGCAGCGGTTGCTAAATTTCTTGTTGCTGTGAGAACACGGTTTTCAGAGTCTACTGTTGTCATATCACTGGTCAAAGCATCTCCTGTTGATGTTCCAGTACTTGTTACCATGTTGTTTTTTGATATCAAGGAACTTGAACCATCTGTTGTCTGTAACATTGTGATGGTTCCAGCATCATGCGTCGGCGTTTCAGTACTGTTTGAAACTTTTGCTTTTGTTGTGAAAGGAGTAGACTCAGGACTCAGGCTGGTTGTTCCAACAGTAGCCACAGAATTAACTGTTGATGTGCCAGCTCTGGTTGAAGTGTTAGTTGTCCTCCATGAGCTGCTTTCAGTTTTGATTGTTGCCGACACAGAATTGGTTGTGGTACCAGATGTTGGTATTTCAGAGTCAGTGAGGCTTTTAGTTGGTGCACCAGTTGAAACATCTGCTGTTGATGTCTCAGAGGCTGTTGTGGCATCTGGTGTTG